GTGAAAAACACAAGAAGGGGGGGGGGGGGTTGAATTGAAAAACATGGATCAAATAAAAACAGCTTTAAGACACAGTATTTTTATCCTGGTTCGTTTGATCTCAAACTACTCCAGTCCACCCGTCAAGGTGATTTCGCCTCTCTCCAACGAGGTCTTAATCCACTATTCTCAAAGAATTACAACAGCTACTTTAACAACTGTTAAAGTCTTCTTAAGTATAACCACACACCGGTTTATCTCAAGGAAATCTTTTACAAGAAATGAACAAGAGTGTGTTGTTGTTTTCTAACAAAACATTATATCACAACTGTGATAGTTACACACATTAAGCTTGGAATAAAATGAATTTGCTAAAGCTTTTGAATATGCGTGGTTTGGAAGGCTTGGCAAATTGTGTGCGTACATGCGTGCTTCTTTTCTCAAGCAGACTTGTTTATATAGGCAAGGCAAAGATACGTTGTCCATAAATCAAGTTTAATGATAATAACGCACTTTCCTTTTGAAGAAGATCTTGTCTGAAGAAAGCCGTTAGCATTTAATTCTGTCTTGAATAATTAATAACGCTTCAGAGTCTTCTTTGCTTTAACTGCTGATAACGCTTCAGAGTGTTGATGACTTGGTAAAGATGTATTTGATCAGAGTCAGAGTGTATTTATTTATGTGCAGATTCTGGTCATCAAGCTTCAGCGTGTAGCACATATTACTGATCTTCTGATGCTGATTCCAATCTGATGCTGATTCCATCAGAACTTATGTATATACAAAACATAATATTAAGAAGCATATTTGTTCTTTATATATATCTTTGAATTTATTTATTCTTTGTATTTTGTTATCATCAAAACTCTAATCAAGGGTTGTAGAATCAAACTATGTTCTAACACCTTCTACAAACTTTCCCAAAACCTTGATGTAAACCTCAAATATCTATCCGATATAATACTCGATGGTATTCCTTGTAGTTTCACAATCTCTTCGATATACATAAGAAATAATCAAAGCTCCAGAACTCAAAGACTTGAGAATCATAAAGGTTATTGCCATAATATTTGTTTCAAGATCTAAACATCAGAAAAACTTTTGATATCAACATCAGAAAAGCTTTGTCCTACAACGACAATACTTGTTTCTCAGATAAGCTGCTGCTTATATATATGAAAACAAGAATCCACTATTGAAAGATTCTGAAATGAAACATCTTCTCACATAATCTTCATCTCTCAGATCAAATAAGAAATACGCCTTCAAGACATGTTCTAAGATCATAAGTCAAGCTTTGTGTTTCAGATAGGTTGTTGCCCATGATTCTAAAGACAAGATTTGGTTATGACCACTCTGATGTTCATGCGCTACAACAACAAAGTAGTCTTTGAACTACTCATCATTCATTCATCAGAAGAACGAAGAGAAGTGATTGATCTCTTCCAAGCTTAATAATTCAAAATATGAAGTACATCATCATAAGATAAAAGATCAAGAAACTTAGTCAAGAAGAATACAGTACACCACGAATTCAACTATCATGATACTCGTTGTACTATTCACGAAAGTTGTCTCCCATGATCATATGCTAATAACTGTAAGCAGTAGGTAAAGGAAAGTGACGTTTCATACTGTTACAAACCTACTCTTGAATATATTCATTGGGAATTAACTGTTGGAAGAAGAAAGGATTTTTCTATCCTTACAACGACTCTATTTGAAGGCTATATAAGAAGATCAATGCTTCAAATGCAAATTGACGATGTTCATCATGACAAACTCCATAGAACGTTGTTATTCATATTGAAAACATCTTACAATGTTAAAGAGAAAAAATGAAGAGATGAAAAGAAAGAAGAAAAAGAAAGAAGACGAAGAAGAAGAATTCTACAGGATGATACTCAAATTCTTATCAAATATATCTTGGTAGAAATATGAAGAAGCAAGGAGTTGTTGCTTATAGCTTGCTCAACGAAGAAGATGAAGACAAGAAGGCTACAAATTGTTTCACTTAAACTTAGATTTTATTCATCTTCGTAGAATCATGTAAACACAAGAGTTGTTGCTCATATTGTGTTATATCTTTAGTTCTTCATGTAAATTGTTTGTTCACAAAAATTGTTGCTCATAATTATGTCAAACAATCAGGACTTAATCATTTGTGTAATCTGCTTAGAAAGAAGCAATCATGTAAACACAAACTTTATCAACTGAATGTTAATGGTTCCTTGAGAGACTCAGTTGAGTCAAGATTCTCAAGAAGACTTTGGATGTGGTCATCGTAGATGGAATCCTGTTAAGAAAGACAAGGTTGGTCAGATTTCTTAAGGGGTCCTTGATCGTTATATCTTGTGAAGATCAGTGAACATGTCATTGTATTGTTCCTTGAAAGACTTTGTTGATTCAGGATTCTCAAGAAGGCATAAATTGCGGTCTTTGTAGAATTGGCAATAAGGATCAGCTGAACTTGTTGGGGTTGTCAGCAAGGTTGATCAGACTTATTGCGGTCATTTGTAATCAGATTTGGTTGTAATGGATTAAGTCCATGTTGAAGGCAAAATCACCTGAGGAGGGTGGGCAAGATATAGCCTAGTTAGAGGTGAACTTGGGTAAACCAAACGTGTCTCTTTATATGTCTAAGCATTTTATATTCCTTCATAGTTTTATCAAATAATTTTCAAAAGGGGAAAAGTTTTTAAAACCCAATTCAAACTCCCTATTTCTTGTGTTTTTCTCTACCTTCACTTGGAACAACAGAAGTAAAGCTTTAGAAGGCCTCCAAAGCTTCCTTGCATAAGTCACAATCAGAAGCTCTTTTACTAATGTTCTTTAGACACGTTGCATAAGAAGCATTTCAGAACCTTGACTTAACTTGTAACACACTGTAGGTATTCTTCCAGAGTGTTGAGTTCAAAAATTGATGACGTCACACGTCTTCTTACCAGAGTCAGAACTTGTTTAACAAAAACTACACACTAGACATAAACCATTAAAATACACAATTATTCTTTAAGATAACATATAAATTTATCATCAAAACTTATTATCAGGTGTAGAATCAATCTGATTCTTACAATACGGTAACATAAGAAGAAGTGTAAGTACACTATGTTTAAAGTATAGTAATAAGAACAACAACATTCAAAATGAAGACATTATTTCACAAACACAAATGTGATTCTCTTTAGATTTTAGTTAAACGATTAAACAAATAAAATGAAAATCTAGAATTAACACAACTTGAGTTGACCTCTAAATCTCTACCTAATCAGCATCCAACATAAAAAAAAATTTAAAAAAAAAGACATTTATTCCATCACATCAGTTTCGGTTAGTAGAAATTAATTTAAGAGACCATTGATGCAAACAAAAAGATTTACGGAGGCAATTGTTTGAAGAAAATATTTTAAAAGATTAAAATGAAATTTATAATATTACTGCGTTTCTGCATTCAAATGTTTACCAACTAAATTGAATTAATGACAATATGGTTGAATTTTATTAATTTATGTATTTTAAAAATATTAAATAAATCAAACGGATGGTACTTCTTTACTCCCTTCTGTGATCAAAATTTATAATTTTAAATATTACTAATACTGATGAACTATTTATGAATTATTAATTGGAAACAATTTTGAAAGTGGCGGATCACGTTATTCGCCTATCATGATAAATGCAAGATAAGATGATCTGTATAATTAATTACACGTGATATATAAGTATGTGTCCTATATTTGGAAATAAAATAAGGTTTCGTTGGGTTATGAAAGTGAGGTGAGAAAATGACTTTAGAGAATAGAGAATGGGAGGTGAGAAACAAAAGGGAGGAGGGTTTTTCATTTTATCTTGTAAGAGAGAGAAGAAAATGCTTATAATTCATAATTGTTTTGTTTTTAAACTATTATAAAATCAGAAAATGAAATGAAAAATCTGTCATAACATTTTCCATATGTTTTTTTGGTGACGTTTAGCATGGTCAAACAACATTTTGACCAACATGAGTAAGTAGTTATTTTGATCTATAATAGCAGGTTATGACCTGCCATCAAATTTTTTTTTAAAAATTATTATTTTAATATATTTATTTTTATTGTTATTTTGTTATTTATCATTCTAATATACACCTCATCTCAAATAATAATATTATTTAATTTATCTCTAATTTGACATTTATAGTAACAATAATAATTTATGTGTTTCTCTATTGTTATTTAAGTCTATCGGTTAATCTCAAAGTTGAAGAACCTCAAAATTTTAGAAACCTACAAGACTGTAGTTGAAAGTTTGAACAAAGGTATTTGATGTTTGTGAATATAATTTTTCTATTAAGAATCATATTTTCGTTTAAGAACTCTTTCGTTTTCTGTAAGCATGGTTATGAACGAGGCTTTATTGAAGATGGAAGATTTATGTTTGCATTTTGTTATAGTTTTGTTATTGTTCAGTGTGGTAACATAATGTTTATCGGGTAATGAAAATGTCCATTTTGTAGCTTAGGTTTGCTTATTCTGGAAAGATATTCGTTTAGGGTTTGTTGATTCCGTTTAACTATGTATGTGCATTTTGTTCATTTTGAATAGGTTATTTGAATGGATCCAGATAAAATATTATCAATTTTTCAAGGATTCCACAATAGTGAAAGTCATGGCAGTCCGACTGAGGTACGTATCGTTAGTTAAATGGTGGATTCTACAGATTTATAGTTAATATTATGCGTTACCATAATGTAAAGTAAAAATATAACTTTGATGTTTTGTTATATATCTTGAATAGAATTTAGGCGATATATCTGTTTCACAAGATGGTAGTTTGTTATCGAAAGAAGACGCCAGAGACAACATCAGCGAGGCTAGGGGTTGCATTTTTCATGACAAAACCGTAATTAATTGTGTGATATAGAGAAAATAGATTTCAAAGAAATAAGTTCTGAACAAATAATGCAGTACTATTTTCCAGATCGTGAAGTTGCGTTTATGTTTTAATGTATCCATGGATTTGCTGGTACGAAGAGTAAGATGGTAAGGAATGTCAATGGTGAAGTAGTTCAACAAACATTTCTTTGTCATATGGAAGATGCTAGAGATGACATATACAATAACTATGCAGTTAGAAAGCGTGAACATAAACCAACTAGCAGGTGTGGTTGTTTGGCAAGAATCCAAGTACATCTTGGCTTTAACACTAAGCGTTGGTGTGATACGGTGGGAAGAACTGACTGTTTTTGGAATGCTGGTTTGCGTTTTGCGTTTGTTTTCGCAAAATGTCGCGGTAAGCAAGAGTCGCCACCGACTTTTATTTTATCCAACAAGGAAAGGAAAAAAGCACAGAAAAATTCCTTTTTCGAGATATCTCTCGGGCTCGGGGGGTAGATTATAGAAAGGGAAGGTATTAGAACCCTTTCTATCCGTAGTTATCTACGGGCTCTTAGGTACTTGCTCTTTTGTTTTCAAATTTTTTTTTTCTTTGTGCTTGTGGGTTTGAAAAAAGTTTTTGTTTGAAACTTCGATTTAACTCTTACTTCTGTCCTCAAGAGTGTAATGAAGTGTTTTGAAAACTTTGTTTGAAAAGTGTAAGTGTGAAGAGTTTGGTTTTGAAAAAGCAAGTATCTAAGAACCATCTACCTACTCGAAGAAAGTAATCGTTCTTATGCTATTTTCCTTTAGATAATGCTATCCCACTATTAATGAGTGGATAACACCGTCGTTGGAGTTTAAGGGTCAATTCGAATGAGGGACTTACGGTCACTAAAGCAATGTTAGGACGCTTTAGCGGTAACCCTAATGTCTTAGATCATTTGTTTGAGGCAACAATATCCGAGGCAACCATTTCTAGGCGACTATGATCTTTTAGACAAGAGGACGACCTCTAAAACGACCTATACTTAATGACCATGTACGAAGGCAACCAAGTGGGGTGTACACTAAGAGTGCGCATGTGCGAGTGTGTCGTTTTCAGTTATTTTTTCTTTGTACATGTTAAGGGTGATCTAATTTGATTTTAAGATTAATATTCAGTCTTGTCATACAAACCCTATTATCAAATATCTAGCAGTTATAATTTGCGGAAATAAAATGCAAAATTTAAATTACAAGGCGTCGGGTATTTACATCGCCAAAGACAAACCCTTTGAAAAGTAAAATAAAGCGATAAAAATAATTAAACGTCCTATTTAACTATTACAATCCGGAAGCAAGTACATTATTGGATAAAAATAAGTAACGCGCGGGCAATTGAATCGAATGCGAATTTTTTTAGGGTTTTGACCCTTTTGGTTAAAGAACATGTCTTTTTGGTTTTTTTGTTTTGTTTTTAAATTAAGAAAGAAATTAAACCTAAATTAAAGAACTAAATTAAATCAGTAAATTAATTAATGAAAAATTAATTATGACATATTTTTTGGATTTTTGTTATTTAGGAAAGAAATTAAAAATGATTAAATTAGTGGTTGATATCTAATTAAATATAATTAATTAAAATTATTTACAAAAATGAATTAAAGTTTTCTAATTAAAACCTAATCAATTAATAAATTTATTAAGAAAAATAAAAGTTAAAAATTTGGTTGAAATAAAAAATATTTTTTTGTGATTTTATTTAATAAAAACAGAATTTTGTGATTGGTTAGAAAATTAAATACAACAATTAAAGTAAAAATAAAAAAACAAATAAAAGAGAAAAGAAGTGCTGGGCCTGTTTTGGATGGTGTTGGTAGCAAATCTGAAGGCCCATTAGCAGCTGGCCTTTGTGGACTTTTTCTGATCCAGTATACGCATGTTGACTTGGCTCATGGTGGACCTCCAGCTTTTTGACCACCAGATCTGGCTCTTGGCCATCTGGCATTTGGATAGGTGTGCATGTGATAACCTGAAAAGAAATAAGAAAATACAAAGTGCTGGAGGCAGGGATCGAACCCCTGACCTCCAGCCACTAACGCCTTGGAAGCTGACGTGCTGACCACTAGGGCACGTTGTTGTGTTTGTTATAACAATATGAATGATATATATTATATAAAAAACAAAACCAATACCAGAAAATAATAAAAACGCGCGTAATATTTGAATGGTCCAGTAATGGGATGCCACGCATCATCCCCAACCTCTCATCCATGGCTAAAACGCCAAATACCTATACCAACGGACAAAAGTCCGTAGCTACAGGCATGTCCATCTCCAAAATCTGCTACAAGCCACAAAAATGAATTTCAAGGGCATGGTTGTGTTTGTCTCACCCTCCCAGTCACAACCATGTCCATTATGGGGGTCAATTGTACCTGGAATAAAAACGCCCAAAAATGCAGACCAAACCCTAACAATGGTGGTTTGCAATACATATCATATAAATGAAATCAAATGATGCAAAAAGTTTGGAAATGTTCTTGTGATTATGAATATGCCATTAGTTTTCACAAATGATGCAAGAACAAATCAAATCGAATTCAAGAACAGGGGTCGTTTTCGTGAGACTTACAACGCGTATAGAGGCCTGAGGGTGGATGGTTTTGATCCATGTAGCTTGTATGAATGTCCAGGAAGCGATTGGAACAAGTCTCGTTCCCTGAAACTGCCTCTAACCTGGGTTTTGATCTCAAGCTTTTTGTGATTTTTTCAATTCTTGTTCTGCCTCTTCCAACACTTGCCAACCCTTATTTTCGTGTGTTTAGCTTCCTTATGTAATGTGTACTGCATTAGGGTAAGAATCATGGTCCAAATCTCTCCATATCAATGCACATGAATTGGATTTGATTCCACCATTAAAACCTTCCAAATTTGATTTGATTTGGATCTTTTTGTGCATACAAGCCTTGATTCAAATTTGATTCACATAAAAGTTGTATTCAAAGCCTAAAGCAACCAAAGAATCATGAATTATCAATACCTTGGATTTTATATGATTTTATTTGATTTAAAATGAATAAATTCAAATAAAAATCAAATTAAATAATAAAAATGAGATATAGGCACATGGATGAGGATAGGTCACGTGTGATACAATGCAAACTCAATTCAAGTGGAAAAGAATGGGCCCATTTGGCAAAATTTGAAGTTTTGGGGATAGTTGACTTTTGGCAATTTTGCAAAAAAGTCTAACTTCAACAATGCATAACTTCTTCAAGTTTGAACTTTTGGAATTTTTCTATGACTTTTTAGAAATCTTGAGATGTCCTCTAACCAACCCTTTTGGTCTCATCTCATTTTGATATTTCATGCTCAAGTTATAAGCTTTGACAAAAAAGGTGTTTTTATTGACTTTCAAAAATGACCTACAATGTCCAAATTCATAACTTCTTGTGAGTGCATATTTTGAACTTGGGGTGTGAATATGGATTGTAGTTAATTTCATACTATTCAAAATGAGCTTTGGATGAGTCATTTCTCATAAAGTATGAGAAAGTTATGCTTGGTCAAAGTTGAGTTGACTTTTCTTGCAAAACCCTAATTTAGCAACTTTTGAGTCTTGATGAATTTTGAGCAATCCTTGATGAATCATTATCAACTCTTGATAAAATTATGAAATATACTTCAAAATGAGAATGTTGACAAAAAAATCTTGAAGTTTGACTGCATTTGGGTCACAATTGACTTTTGCCCTAACACATTCGATTTTTGGACCTTTGAGCAATTGACTGAGCAAACTTCCTCTGCAAGGCTTGAAACTTGACATGGATGATCTTGAGAACATATTAGGATATTGGTGAGCACTTGAGGTCCTTTGGATTCATGGATCTTGATGCAATGTGAAACCCTAATTTGGGGTAGACTGCCTTAGGAGATAGCTTGTCTGACCAACTCTTGAGCTAACTTGAGCCACTTGGAGATTTTCCTTGCAATGTTTTGAGAAATATGGGAGGGCAAATTTTGGGGTACAACAGCTTCCCCTGTTCAATCTTCTTAAACCTGAGGATGTAGATTGGCTTTTAAGCCTTTCGTGATCCGAAGGTGGAAGATGATTGAACACTAGAGTGCCCAGAAATTTGCACTCGCATGAAGTGGTATCAGCCTTGTGATGTCGGGAATGGGCTTACATATGCCATTTGGAGGGGTGTCGATCGCATAAGATATTCCTTAGCGAGAGCTTGCATACCTGCTGTTGAGGAAGATTCCGTTGGGGAAGTCTGATCTTTGTTGAGATTTAGGAACTTGCCTGTACTTCAACTGAGAGAACATCTCTGTTGAGTTTTAATAACTTTCCCGTAATTCATCTGAGGGGGAAACATCTTCATCGAGATTTAAGAACTCGTCCGTAATTCAACTGAGAAAACTCTGCTGAGATTTAGGAACTCGTCTGTAATTCGACGGAGGAACTTTATCGAGATTTAGAACCTTATCTGTAATTCAACCGAGGATAATTCTGTTGAGATTTAAGAACTGGTCAGTAATTCGACTGAGGGAAACATCTTCATCGAGATTTAAGAACTCGTCCGTAATTCAACTGAGAAAACTCTGCTGAGATTTAGGAATTCGTCTGTAATTCGACGGAGGAACTTTATCGAGATTTAGAACCTTATCTGTAATTCAACCGAGGATAATTCCGTTGAGATTTATGAACTGGTCAGTAATTCGACTGAGGGAAACATCTTCGTCGAGATTTAAGAACTCGCCCGTAATTCAACTGAGAAAACTCTGCTGAGATTTAGGAACTCGTCTGTAATTCGACGGAGGAACTTTGTCGAGATTTAGAACCTTATCTGTAATTCAATCGAGGATAATTCTGTTGAGATTTAAGAACTGGTCAGTAATTCGACTGAGGGAAACATCTTCACCGAGATTTAAGAACTAGCCCGTAATTCAACTGAGAAAACTCTGCTGAGATTTAGGAACTCGTCTGTAATTCGACGGAGGAACTTTGTCGAGATTTAGAACCTTATATGTAATTCAACCGAGGATAATTCCGTTGAGATTTAAGAACTGGTCAGTAATTCGACTTTGGGAAACATCTTCATCAAGATTTAAGAACTAGGCCGTGATTCAACTGAGAAAACTCTGCTGAGATTTAGGAACTCGTCTGTAATTCGACGGAGGAACTTTGTCGAGATTTAGAACCTTATCTTTAATTCAACCGGGGATAATTCCGTTGAGATTTAAGAACTGGTCAGTAATTCGACTGAGGGAAACATCTTCATCGAGATTTAAGAACTAGCCCGTAATTCAACTGAGAAAACTCTGCTGAGATTTAGGAACTCGTCTGTAATTCGACGAAGGAACTTTGTCGAGATTTAGAACCTTATCTGTAATTCAACCGAGGATAATTTCGTTGATATTTAAGAACTGGTCCGTAATTCGACTGAGATAAAAGCTTCAAAGCTTTGAATTCTGTGAGAACTTAACTGCATCCTTCCTGAAAGGTAAAGATTAGTTGTATGTAATGCATG